ATTACTTTTGGTCCTTTAAGTGTACTTTGTACTTGTCTCTGTGTGCACCTTCATGTTTAAACAAGGATAAATAAGTAACAAGTGTTTCTCTCAGCAGGCTGCATAAATGTTGACATGCAACAAATGTTTCCAGACAGATTTTCCTTTCCTGCGGCCTCTCGTTTTCTTCATCAAGGTGAATGATTACCTCTGAAAGGGAAGATTTATGAAGGGGAAACACAACTGAGGCGGCTTTCCTTGGCTGCATAATGAATTTTTCATTGTAGGCCTTCAAAACTGCTACTCCATGGTTGTACCGGCTGGACAGAGAAGATGTTCAGTGACAGCTTAAGGGGTCCCTTCTCTGAATGAATTATAGCTGATTCTTGTATTCTCACACATTTCATTGATCACTCTGCTTTTTTTCACAAAGGCTCTTACCCCAGCTCTCTACTCTTTGTATGGCCCTATAATCACTTCCTCCAACTTTTAAGTTTACATTTTACACATAATCCTGTTTTAAAGCTGCTTAGTTTGAGCACTTTTTTCTTTGATGTTGGACAATATCCTCTGTCCTTCCTTCCTTGATACCGAATCAACCGACATTAATGTTTCCAAAGAAAGTTGTTTAAATACAATCATCATAGGCATGAATATCATGGTCATTTTTAATTTATTTGAGCTGTTCTTTCCCCAGGATGGATGGATGGATGGATAGATGGATGGATGGATGGATGGATGGATAGATAGATAGCTAGCGGATCGCCCTGTGGGACGGCTGCACGGCGTCAACGCGTTAGCGCCTTGCTATGGTGTTAACGTCATTTTAACGACATTAACGCTGACGGCACTAATATATAGATATAGATATATATAGATAGGTAGATATAGATCTATAGATATAAGATATGTATACATTCGTACCAAACTCACATCAAAACTGGTTTTGTAATGGATAGAGCAGTCCAACATTAATCTTTGACCGCAACCCTATTGAAAATTTGTGATCTGTGCTTTAAGGCCAGGGCTGTGTCAGGAAACCATCCAGTTTAAATGAATTCTACCAATTCTGCCAACAAGGGTGGTCAAATATCCAGCCAGGTGGAGGTGGACATTTATCCAAATGTTAGTGGGGATGTATGTATACCTTTGACCATCTGTTGATTGAAAATCCAAAATACTTTTGGATTTGTGCACCCAGGCCTTCAATGCTCCACAAAAAAACTCAACTGTGAAGAAAGAGCAGTTCAAAGGAATCATTAAAAGCCCAAAATTACAATATATTCATGCCCATGATGGGTGTGCATGTATGTAAACATCTGACTACACCTGTAAGAACTGCAGTGATGTCATTTAAAACCTGTATTTGTTTGAATATAACATAAATTATAATATTGAAACATACATTTATATAATTTTATTAATTACTCAGTTTGAATTTGATGCCAGTAAAATGTTTCAGTAACAAAAATGTCACAGGGCAGTGACGTTCCTTAATGTGTTTGAGAACTGCTTCTTTTAACAGACTTTAAATGTTTGGGAACTGAGAAAACCACTTGCTGCATTTCTGAAAGCCAAATGTTTCCCCCATTCCTACTGAACAGCTGTTCAACACTTCAGGGCCTCCTTTGTTGTAATTTATATTTCATAATGTGTGCAGTGAAGCTCCTCTTTATTACTTCACAAAACAGCATTTACTCATGGATAAATTGTACACATTGTACAGATAAATGATTACACACACACACACACACACACACACACAAAGATTGAGGTTATGGTGTTTTATTGATGAATGTTGTTGGCAGGGTCCAAGCTGGGAGTCACTAAAATAAAGATTAGATTGGAAATCTTGGTTATGCCAAATAAACAAAATAATTTTAACTGATGTCGCTGAAGTGAAATAAAGGATAGAAGTTAATGAGTGCAATAACTAACCCTTTTATCTGTGTTTCCTTTCCCTGGTGTAAGTATACAAGTATGATAAATATACAAACTTATATTTTCAATGATAGCTTGTCGGTGAATTGTTTTCTATTTAAATAAAGTTCACAATATTTGTCAATTTATCTAGTACTAATAAAGTTTAATATTAGTAATCTGATTGTGTAATCCATTAGTTTAGCTGACTTTAATAGCAGTCCACAGAAGTTCAGCCAGTTCACATCAGAGGATGCTAAACCCACATGCCACCTCAGATCAGAAGTGGGGTTTTCTTAGTGTAGTGGTTTGTGATGTTTGTCTAAAAAGGCTCTATAGAAATAACATTTTACTTAATTACTTTTTAGTTTGCTTTTTTATGTTTTGTCCAAATTCATTGAAGCCATCCACAGGAGGGGCCACAAGCCAGTGTCCTCCTATAGTGTCAGTCCTACACCCAGATAAAAGGGCAGGACTACGTCAGGAAGAGCATCCGGCGTAAAATCTTTGCCAAATCAGACATGCGGATACAAAGAGCACAGATGAGTTTCATCGATGGAGTGATGGAGGAGATGCAGAAGGTTGGTGTGACAGAGGAAGACGTTTGGGACAGGGTGAGATGGAGGCAGATGATGAGTTAATCTCTAATGCAGGTTTTGGATGCATCCTTGATCCAGCACAGCTGATTCAAATGGCTAAATTACCTCCTCAACATGTCTTGAAGTTCTCCAGAGGCCTGGTAATGAACAAATCATTTGATTCAGGTGTGTTGACCCAGGGTGAGATCTAAAACCTGCAGGACACTGGCTCTCAAGGCCTGGAGTTCCCTACCCCTGCTCTAACAGGAGCAGCCAAAAGAAGATGCAGCTGAAAGAAGACCTGCTGATCTGCACTTCATTTCCTCCTCCTTTAATCCAACTGTCAAATGTTTTGGCATTTTGTGTTTCAATCTTTGATTAAAATATTTGAAATGATTTTATTTGATCAGTCCGGTGTGTGTGTGTGTGTGTGTGTGTGTGTGTGTGTGTGTGTGTATATATATATCCATGTATGAAACAAATTTATTTGGTCAAGATATTTCTTGGCTTAAAATATTTGAGAAAGTGCTATGACCTGCTGTCAGGATGCAGTAGTAACAGAGAGTTGGAGCCACCCCGAGCAAATGGAAAAACAATAACAAAGGCATGCATGTGTCCAAACACTCACAACAGAGGTGAACAGTACACTTATTGTTGGGCACATTCAAATTCTACATTGCTAAAATATATTATTGTAAAATTGTGTGACCGATGGACAAACAGCATCATTAAAAAAACTGGTATAGAAGAGGGCAAAATCAAGCCATACGTCATCTTAACCACTTTTCTAGTTCAGGGTCAGAGGTGGACTGGGGCTTGTCTCAGGTGTTACAGAGCGAGAGGCGGGGTCCACTCTGGTCAGGTTGTCAGTCTATCACAGAGATTGCAAAAATCCAATACATCAGTATTTGTTTCTGTATAAAACTGTTTAATGCACTCCAGTATTTACATATCAAATCTAGAAAATATGCACAATGTTAAAATAGCAGTAATTTGCCCCTCATTCAGTTTTGTGCCATAGCCCTTATTATATACAATCCCAGGCCATTAATAATCAATCTTTAAATAGGACACATATAGTATATAGCTAACATATCACAATGCAGACCGACCAGACGATTTACACAACATACCAATATCACAATTTTAAAAAATCAACAGCAAACACATGTTAAAATATTAATCTGTATGTAATTACATTATGTTTGTGCCAAGCAGTTACCGGTGTAACATGAGGTTAGAATACAGTACAGTTTAAGACTTACAGCTTGGGGCTGGGGTCGCTTTCTGTCTCGGTTCAATCAATTAACAAATTAAGTTGTGTCAGGAACTAATGAGAGACCATTGATTTCTTTGCCCAGTTGATCCTGAACTGAGAGGGAAACAACTCCAGCCCAGATGTATTCGAGGTCAGGCATGTGTGTTTGTCTACATTTGGTAATGAGGAAAAAGGAAAAAAAAGATGTATTCAGAATGGCCCGGATGTCTTTACTGCTGTGTGTATTTATTACATTTCAATAAATAAACTTCTTTTAACTCTTTGCAGATTTTTATTTTCACCTTTGCAAAAACTACTTAAAACGAAAATAACTTTACTCTTCTTGGTGTCAGTAAAACATTTGTTAGAGAAAATATAGCATCCAACTGAAAAAATTAGACCTATTTCACGTCAAAAAAAGCAACACTTGTTACGGGCTGTGCTATTAACAATGTTTTGGCATATTTTTTTTAAGGAAAAAGCCTGAATGGCACTTCCGCTTCTTTTCTTTTCGCACACACAATGATACATTTGTTGCACTCCTTCCAAACACACGAAAGACATAAGTTTGAGGTTGAAATTGTGCCGAACACAAATTGACTGAACCCTGAACCCACAGTCTCCTTCAAAAGGTAAATTCATAATAACCTCTGAAGGTAAACTGTGCCTACACACTCCTCCGTTTCCTGTGAAACTTGGGGAAGATTGACTATCCTGTTGCCTGTTATAATATCCTCTCATGCTCATGGGGTGCTTGTAATGATGACAAAACACCAGCTTAGACTAAGTTCTGATATACTCTCCTTCATTTAGAGGAGTTTCAGAGACTTCTCCCTTCAGAAAATGGTTGTAGGATTTTACTGCTGTCACCCTACACTACAGGCAATTGTGCAGAAATACTTTCATCAGGCTGATGTCTCCATGAATAGGCACCATTGGATCGAGGGAAAAGAGGCAGAGAAGGTCAGGCCATGCAGACAGGTCTGCTTCTGCCTTCTATCCCACTGGTTGATACTCTTGACACCAACATCCAGCAGACATGGAGACAAAGAACGAGTGGAGATTAGCTTGTATGGTGAGTGTGAGCCAATGTAAGGCTTAACCAGAAAACGTAGCACACGTGTCCAAAAAAGTTTAGTGTAACACAGAGGGCTTCTGCATGCCAAGTATCATTGCATCGGAGCACTGGATGTATGAATAAAGTGGCTGTCAGAGAACTCTGACTGCCTCAAGATGAGGCTCGGTTAGTGAAGGCCCGGGTGACTCATCCAGCCGGGCGGTCAGGCGTCTACCAAGGGAGGAATAAAAGGGATACAGTGTCTTCTGTGCCTCTAATAAACAACTCATGGTGGTGGGGGCAGTCGCACATCAAGCAGGCTGTAGGCAAAAATGTTCCAGAAAACAGCGCAGAGCACAAACAAGGTGTAGACACAGAAAAATATCCAAAACAGGGACTGCTCCTGGAGCCGCTGCTCATAGTTCTGCAGAACAACCACACCAAGCGTCAGGCCGACCACCACTCCTCCCAGGTGAGCTACAAAGCTGGGATTCGGGCATGGAGGAAAGGCCGGAGGGTAGAACCGGAGCCATACTGCTCGACCAAACTCTACACTCACTGTGGACAGAAAGGAGAAAGGAAGACATAATGGCAGCGAGATGTGAGCGTGTAGGTGAAAACAGCAGCACTTTATTAAAAATAAACAGTTCTGACTTTGAGGTAGATGAGCTATGATAAAAAAAAAAAAAGGATGTCGAGATTTCTTAAAATAAGACATAAAGCAACAGTGAACCTTTGTTATACAAGTTTCAATTGCTCTCATCCTTTCTCCTGTGTATTTGACTTGATCTGCTCCTAACAACCTTCTAGTGGAACTGGGGGTGAAAAATTCGACAGTCCTTGTGCTGCTGCAAAATTACATTCTGAAGTTTTATGCAAAGTTATTATGAGGCTTCAGCTTCAATAGCCAGGATTATGCAAATCAAGTGGATGAGCATGTTACACACTCAAAGTCAATATTAGTGTAACTTTCCCTCTCGGGGTTTCACAGACATATTTTGCTACTGCGTTTATGTGGCAGGATAGTAACAGAAAGAGGGAGGATTTTTATTTGATTTAAGACTGACTGGAAGCAACTCACCCAGCTATTTGGATGGAGTGTGTCAAAGGTTATGAGCAACAGAGGAAATTTATTAGTGAATCTGGCACGACTACAGTCTTTGATTCACTGCTTGTTTTGTTGTTGTTTTCTGTTTTTGGAGAAAATCACTTTGAACTTGTCAGATCTGGGTTGCCTGGAATCCCATCTAGCCTTGCAATGCAGTTTGCTCACATCACCCCATTGCAGTGCATCACAACAATCATAGTGTCTTAGCAGTGAGAAATCCTTCATGTGCTGAAGCTCCAAAGCCAGAAAGCTTATTATTGTAGCATTTGGAGAAAATAAACACTTTTTTTTTTTTTCAAGAACAGGAACATTTGTTTTGACATAATTAATTTCTGGTGCTGAAGTAGTAACACAGCAAAACTTTTCTGTTGAACGAGAAGTGTTAAGAGTGGGAGTGTGGCATATTTATTCAGACTTACTGCAAACCAGAGCCATGGCCATCCGAAATAACTTAAACTGACACTTCATTCCTGACCAATTCTGCAAAGAAGAGAAAGAGAGAGAGAGTGGAGAAATCATAATGAAACACATTTCTGATGATAAAGACAGAATAAACTCTGCTAGAAGAGAAAGTCCTCCTTACATACACACACACACAAACAGACATGCATAACTACCTGAAAGGACCTTAGATTGTACCCTTTGTCTGAATTCACGTCAATTTTAAAGGCTCCAGAGACACTGTGACCCCCAGTTTGTTCTTGCTGTGTTAGATAATAAGATTTCAATGGAGAGGAGGAACACAAACTCCTCCATACTGACCTCAAGAATGCTGTGAAGGATGTGGCAGGATACATAATGAGAACCCCACTGCACATAATAGAGGTTCACCTTGACTGATATTTGCTACATGTGTCTAATGACCTGCTGAATGGGTTAGACCAAACAGAGTAGGCATAGAAGTCAAAGGACAGCAGAGTGCATTGAGATGGGATGCATTTTATTCGCACTCTGTCACGTAAACATGTGCACACGCTCAGATGCTTTTCTGATCTTTGAAGGAATGGGAGAAAACTGACGGTGAGGAATGTATGGCATCTGTAGATAAAGCGGCACCTGTCGAGGGGCCACTGTAGGCTACTTTGATGATACGACAATGATGTGTAGAGACAGGAACACTGAGTGATGTGGTAATCACTGATACACGTTGTGCACACACATAGCGTGTGCATGTAAATGGAAAACTTACCATTACTACATTGGCTAAATGTGCAGAGACCAGGGCGTAGACTCCCCCAGACGAGCCAACCACCGGAGCCGTCATATCCGTGACAGACACGGCCAGAGACCCTGCAGTGATGATAAAGGCCACATGTCAGTGAAAATTTATAAATAAATGATGCCATCATTTTACTGTCTGATAATTCATTGAAGAATTATCTTTTCAGTCAATCTTTGTTAAAACCTTTGTTTAAAAAAAAAAAACACTGGGGGTTTTCTTTCTTTTTTAAAGCTGCCACTGAAATTTGAAGTAATGATCAAAGCCTAGGGGATATTTAAAAGCTGAAATTAGACAAGTATCCAAAATAGTGAAATATATAGGATTTCATTCAACCACACCTAAGAAAACATTTAAGAGATTCAACTCCCTGACTTTCCTTAGGATTATTTCAGTTTAACTCTATTTAACAAATCTATCAATTATATACTTTCTGTTGAAAAAAAAAGTACTTTGAAGTCACAAAAATGACTTTATTACTAGAGGAAAGACAAACTTAACCAAACCACTGACTGTATCACCGGCAAGCTCTGGGGTCAGTGTGAAAGCACAAAAAACTGCAATTACCCAAAAGGCCACTTGAGGACGGCTTCAAAAGCAACTCAGTCAGACCCCCACAGACTCCTCTGTAAAAATCCCAAGTTCAAAGCAAAAAGAAACATATTTTGGTCTGTAGCCTCTGTTCCTTTCCCTTGAGAAAACTATACGAGAGGATTTTTTGTTTTGTTTTGTTTTTTTACAAATGTTTTCATATCTATAAATCCTCCCTTTAAAAACTATTTTAAAGTTGCCACTTTGAATCATAGGTATGTGCATGCTGTTGCTTCTTGTGGCAGAGGTGTGGTCCCTGGCTCAGCTGCAAGGGAGGAGCGGTGCAGTGAGCTCAATGGGGCGGTGCTAGGGAGGCAGGTGAGAACACAGCTGGTGGCGTTTGGACTGATGATGGTCTTTTTTCCCCTTTTAGACGAGAGAACTGGTTGTTGGAAAAGCTGAGACCAGCGCTGACCAGACTGTGGGTTGTTGCACAAAGAGCCCTGAATAAACATGACATCTGGGAGCATAAACAGTGTCTGTGCAGAGTGCATTCTACACTTTTTAGCATCTGGCTAGGTATAACAACCTAATGCCAGCAACTGCATTGACCAGCTCAGCAACACCAAAAGGCCTGAAAAGTTGATGATTGCAGAATTGTTTCCTTCTAGAGAGATTGTCAAGGTCTACAATCCAAACACTTTCATGAGTGTAAATAACTGGTACTTATAGCCTCTTTCTACTCAATTTGAGCACTCAAAGCACTTTCTACTGCAAGTCTCATTCAGTCAGTCACAAACAATCATACAGTGTTTTAACCTATCTATGACTAAGCGTCTTATCTAACAGTGCACACGCTGAGGGCAGCTCTTGCCCAAGGATGCTTTGACATGGGAACTGGAGGAGCCGGGGATCGATCTACCAACCTTCTGATTGGTAAACAACCACTACCAATGTACTGTAACGACAGAACATATTGGAAACTACTGGTTACACTCAAGAGCAGGAAGATCATATTAGACTTTCTAAAAGAGCCCTGCACAGCTCTGGAAAAAAAAATATTTGGACAGATGAAAACTGAGCTGGTGGTGGAAGCGGAACAGCTCATGATCCAAAACATACCAGACATTATTTGTTAAACATGGTGGAGGCAATGTTATGGTTTGTGCATGTATATCTGCCAATAGAAACCAGCTAACTAGTGTTTCTGATGTGACTGCTGATGGAAGCAGGAAGATGGATTCTAATGTGTAGAGGCCTATATCATCTACTCAGCTAAATGCTGCATTGCTGATTGAGCTACAGAGCACAAATGGATAATGACCCAAAAGCAAAAGCAATCCATAAGTGTTTCAAGACAAAGAAATAAAATCAAGTCAGTCACCTGATCTCAACCCAAAAGAGCATGGTTTTAAGTTGAAGATAGAAAACTGAAGTTAGAAAGTCCGACAAACAAGTGAGGGTGGCTGCAGTAAAGGCTTGGGATAAGTCCTCAAGGAAGGAAACACAGCATCTGGTGATGTCCATGGGCTCTAGACTTCAGGAAGTCATTGATTATAAAGGAGTTTCATCGAAGTACTTAAAAAATCTTTATATTTGAAATTATGTTAGTTTTGTCCAATTACTCAAAATTACAAACATTATGTCATCTTAGAAATGGACCAAACTGTACATATGCTGCAAACTTTCTATAATATGACAGAATGCTACATGGTACAAGACTTTCTTTATTTTTGTGTCACATATTTCAGTCTTGAGTTTTAATTTATTCAGGAGGAAATACTACTTTAAACTGCTTTCACGCAAGCTGTGACCATTCGTGTACTGAATATCTATTGTGAATAGCATAAAGGCAGCTTTGCTATTAGCTAGTTAATGTGGGTGTATTATATACAGACCTCCGTGAACTGAGGCTTACTCATACCGTAACAGCACACGCTATAATTTAATGTAAGACAAAAGCAATTCAAGCAAATTGGGCAGCAGCAAGGAGCTGCTCTCTTTTGTGCAACTGGTGGCAATTCATTGCATACACAAAAGATCCAATCACGCATAGCAAAGTTTAAACATGTGGACATTCAGAGGGTGAGACACATTTGTTCTCACAGCACTCACTTTACAAGAGATGGAATAAAAGGAAACAAAAAAGGCAGACATGTTTAGCTGGGCTATTCAAATGTCCAAACACTTACATTATCTGTTATCGTCCCTTTCCTCTCACTCATTTCCTTTCTTCATTTACACTTTGCTTCTCTTTTCCTTTCCTTCACTTTTTGGCACTGAATGTTTACTGTATTGATGCAAAGTACATAACACACAACTGCCCACACTATGAAAGAGAGCACAAGAAGATGCAGATAAATATTCTCACATTCACTCTATGTTCTTCCACTTTTGTTCTCAAAGTACGAATACGGATGCATATTACATATTTCTCCTTTAAGCAATACACAATAAAATGTGCATCATATATTTAAACGCATAGAAAATCTAATAGGGTTATTCTCCACCGCTTCTCTTCACCATCTTGATTTTGATACAGATGCTTTATTAACTTTCTATAGATGAAGATTCGATATTTTAAATGTCTGGTACTGGTACCAATAAATTCAAATTAAATTTTTAAAATGGAATGGAAACTCTTGAACTGGATATTTTCTATAATTCTGCACGTTTGGCCAATCCCATAATGTTTAAATTAATGTTAAAACCCGGTTTAATCAATGCTCAGTTTTACTTCTTTTTCTGCCTAAAGCTATTTCTCCTTCATGTACAGAATTTATTACACCATACTTTATCATTCATACATGCCTTATTCCAAAAATGTTGTAAAATGTGAATAAAAAATAAAAATAAATAAAAGGAGCATCTTAGAGAAGCAGATGTTCACCAGTTTGTTGAACAACTTTAGATTGATGCCCCTCAACATGAAATTGTTAAGATTTTGAATATCTCTTCATCTACAGTACATAATATCATCAAAAATCTGGAGAAATCTCTGTCCACAATGGATAAGGCCAAACATTGGTATTTGATGGGAAAAGCATGGGCCAATGCATGAAAAACATGCAATATTCTCTCACTGAAATCACTGCATGGACTCAAGAATTACTTCCAGTAATTTCCACAAATGTTATACTATCCACAAATGCAGGTTCAAGCTCTCGCATGCAAAAAAGAAGCCATATGTAACATGATCCAGAAAAGTCACCGTCCTGTTTGGGCTAAAGGTCATTAAAAATGCATTGAAGCAAAGTAGAAACCAACAAAAATGTGACATTCTTTTTAGAAAACATGGATGCCATCGTTCAGACTAAGGAGTAGATGGACCAGCTTGTTATCACCGCTCTGTTCAGAAGCCTATATCTCTGATTTTATAGGAGAACATTAGTGCCTATGAAATTGGCAGCTTGCACATCTGGAAATTCATCTTTTTCAGAGAAGATCTTGCATATTTTAGCAATGTAATACTTAACCACATATGACATCTATTACAACAGCATGGTATTGTATTAGAAGAGTCTGGCTACTGGCCTGCCTGTAGTCCATCACATATACCACACTTGTACATCATGAAATGAAAAACACAGTGACGATGACCCACTATTTAGCCGCTAGAATCCTTTATAAGACAAGAATGGGATTCTGTTGAAAAATGAACTACCATAATCTGCCACTCAAACATAGTTAATCCTTTACTCTTAAACACTGGCACCCAAACTAACAAACAAAAAAAGAACAAATAAAAAAAGGACAATTAAAAAACAAGATAATCAGATTCCTACCCTAACAGATCTCTCTTTCACACACACACACACACACACACACACACACACACACACACAAACACACACACAGAGCAACTCCACCTTCTAGTTCCTGTGTTTTGGAAGTGTGTCTCTGCAGGGTGACCTCCATCTCTGTAATTACCTTGGTTTAATAACATTATTTTAGCAGTGTGCTTCTGTGTGCACATAATCTCACACACACAAACACACACACAGACAAGGACACGGTCTCTCATAGTCATTCAGCAGGCCCCAGGAGGCCTGTAGGTTTTACAGTTGAAAGTGGCAGCTCATTTTTCTTGGCTCTTCTTCCAAACTGCAGCGAAACAGCCAGGCACATGAGGAGAAATAATAACGCACATCAGTGCTCATAATGAGAAAAATCAACAGCTTGGCTGCATGTTGAGCCAACTGAATATACCGAGCCTTTACAGTAGTGTTTTATGTGTGTGCCCTTTGTAAGTGACCCCCATGTGCCCATAGTCAAGTCTTTGACTTTGTGTAGCTGCTTTATTGTCTGTGTGTCTGTTTTGTCTCGTCTGAGCCTTACTTATCATTGTCCACTGCTGCACCTGTCTTATATCCTTTGCTCTGAAAAGCCACTTCTTGTCTATTTTCCATAAGGGGAGCTTTGAATGTTTCCATTAAAGTGTCAGAGTGTGTGTGAGCCCTAGAGGGTCAGACACCCTTTTCTGAGTCATTACTTGAGCTCTGAACTATGCCTTAACCTCTGTATGTGCCAGCTGAGCCCTTTTCTGTTTGATGCAATATTTCCTCACATAGTAACCTAATAGTGTCATTATGCAGCAACAGAGTAGCTGTTTGTCCCCTAATATATAAGGATTAAGCTAAAATGTTTAAATGGCCTCAAATCAAACAAAACATGTAGGGAATTCAAAGTTTTTTGTTAATATTCATTATATTTGCCTCCCCAGAACCCAGACCTCAACATTTATGGAAGCATCTCTGTCAAGATGATCCCATGACAGAACACAGAAGAAACAAAGATATAGAGCTATCACGTGTTCTTCAAAAAATCTGGAGAACTGTTCCTCCAGAGTACTTAAAGAAACTTGCAAGAAAGCTTTTCTAAGAGAGGCCAGACTACGTGGAAGAATTCAATTCAGTTCAGTGCAAATTACAACAACAGTTGCCTCAAGATGCTTTATATTGTAACACAATATAACCAAGAAAACAAAGAAAACCTCAACAATCCAACGACCCACTATGAGCAAGCACTAAATAAATAAAGGTGGTCTTACCAAATATTGATTTAAAGCTTGTTAAAATTGTATACTCTGTTGTTCTGAAGAGAATTGGTCGTAGAGTTGTGATACAAACAAAACCAAAAATAGAAAAACTGAAAACACTTTTGTATACACATGTATGTCTATATTGAGTTGAATTGAAACAGACTCAGAAACTTTATTGTCATTGTAGCATTGAGAAATTAAACAATGCAAAAGAAGAATAGAAATTAGAATAAAAACAGTCAATTACTCATTCACTTCAAATGAAAATATCATGAGAGAAAAAATTACTTGCTCAGTGGCTGTGGCTATTGTGCCTTTGATTAACTCCTCATAACTAAACCAGTCAATTATTATTCCTAATGAGTTATGCATGAGGCGCTATATTGCAGGCCATAACTCACTTGAGTCTCTTCAGAGTAAAATCCACCTTAAGTCTCAAACACTGATTCATGTCAATTTTTATTGTACCGTTTTAAAAGTAAATAAATACATAGAAATTGAGGTCCAGAGCTTGATGACCTTATAGATGTTTATGGCCATGTGTCCCTGTGCACAAGTTCAAATTGTGCCCCTCCAGTGACCTCGACTGTTTGAAAGACAAAAAACAATCTAAAGCCGGCCTTATATTTGATTTATTACACTGATAAAAGCATCTAGTGTAAAGAATAAAAAGCTCACAGTAATTCTTTTAAAGATCCTTTACACATATGTTTGAAATCATATACAAATACTCCACAAACAGGTTCGTTCATGTTAAAAAAACAACCACTACAGGCACCTCCGAGTAGGATCCACAACAGCGCAAATAAAAGTAAGTAAGTGAGAAAAGATAGTAAGGAAACACTTCTGGCATTCATGCCACAAATTTTATACACAATAAGTCAATTTAATGTAAAAGATTAATATAATTTAGGCTAAAAGGGGCAAAAACGAAGCATTAAACCTCAGTGAAAACTACCTTTTTTTAAATTTAATTTACTGTTTACTATTAGAAAGTTTCTGTTAAAGATAATCATAAATCTACAGTCTACACAATACATGTGCTGTATATGTGACACATACACAAACATCCGGTTCTTGTTAAATATTGCAGATTTTTGTTTGAGTCTTTCTGCTGCCCAATTTTACCTGCTGAGCTCAGTCAGACACAAGAAACGCAAACATGGCAGCCGGCACAACCACACTGCAACTCCCCTCTTCCTCTTGGTGGTCGATATCTAATTAACAGACATTTGTGTGTGTGTGTGTCTGTGTGCATATGTAAGTGTGAGTGATTTATGTGCTCCGTCCTCATTTCACTGTGAGGTTAATGCTACAGGCCGCAGCTGGTATCCCCAGGGGTGTTTGTCAGTGACCCTTGTGTGCGTGCACGCACAGACACACACTCTCTTACACACAATGGGGGCTCGCAGACGTGTAGAGAGAAATGTTCATGAATATTAAACAAAACCTCAACGGCTGCAATTCATATCACACAATCTTTTTTTTTTCAGTCTATCAGTAAAAACCCTCATTTCCCGCCACGAGGCATCATGTTTCTAAGTCTCGTCTCAAAAAGTAGCCCAATATTTCCACTCCAGTTGTTTTGCTAAAAATGACACCCCAGGGTACCAAAAAAAAATGGGGGGGAAAAAAAACAGGAAAACATCACTGGGGTTGATCACTGTGCTGGAGATCACAGATTCAGTGAAGAAAAACAGTGCTTATGAGCTCACACATACACATGCTTTGTCTCAGCTGAACGGGCCTGAACACTCAAATTGCACCAGTGCTTGAGGTTGATAGGGGAGTAGGAAGGGAGCAGTGACATTTTGTTCAAAGCTGTGTCCGCTTTTGCTTTCTCATTGGTAGTTCCTCTCCTAATTCTCGCCCAGCTCTGCTTCACATCCATTTCTGCATTTCTCATATACCGTCTCTCCTCTTCAGACTCTGTGTTATTAGCGTTTAAGAATTCATCACGTTTCTCTTTCTTCATTCCCCCCGATTTCATTATTACTGTGTGTGTTTCTCTGATTGAGCTTCATTTGAGATGACTCTCTTTGCTCTGCCCTTTACTGAATGAATATGGAGGACGTGGGGGCTTAAATAGGGGCTCTGAGAACCCCCTGCATCCCACCATGTCTGGTAGGAGGACAGAAACAGAAGACCATCTGTCCTGAACATGCCACACACATATGCACGATTCTCTCCCTGACCAGTATCCACCAACACACGATGAAATCTGATAGGTGATTAAATGCGTAAAACAAGCAGATGGAACAACGACGGAGCTGAAAGGGAAAACCCCGCCATGTCTGTTTGTGTTTTCGTCCCTGGGTAGCAGAGAGACAGTGAAGCCACACACCTACCTGCTAACACACCACACACATAGACCAGTCCAATTCTCAGGGCACCGTGGACCATTTCTAGAGGGACGCCCACCAGCAGCTGCATGGCCATGTTCAGGCTCAGGTGTTCAATCCTGTAACATGAAAAATATATAACCCTGCACTTAATACAGTAGCAATATAAAAAGGTCATTGCAGAAATGTGAGTGGCACATGAGCTATTGAGGTCACACTGTGAGGCCTCAAAGTTTTACTATTTGTGTTTTCATTGTTTTGAAACAGGATTTTGAAGACACAGCTTTGTCCTCCTTTTTAAATCAAACGAGGACCATGTTTTACAAAATGAACCTTATGTTACGTTAAACAAAACTTAAAACAAGCATCTGAGGAATTTGAAGTCATCAGGGAAGTGTTCTCTCTTTAGAAAGTACAGCTTTTATACATTTCTACATCAATTTCAGATGTGGATGCTACATTCACCCTCTATACGGCCTATACATTCAGAGCAGGATACAACAAATGGAGCTCAGACTCCCCAGTTTGTAGTGTAGTGTGATTTATTTTGGAAAAAAGTAATGTGTCATTCCAGAAACCTTCTTCCCTAGAAACAGCCCCTTGTCATTTTGACAAGTTTCTTGAATCTAAACTGGAAGCTGGTTCCACAGAAGCCTGAAAACTGATATGTGCATTGAAGGACATATCCTGGTCAATACTGACTCCAGGGTTCCTCACAGTGTTACTGGAGGCCAAAGTAATGCCATCCAGAGTAAGAATCTGGTTAGATACCATTTCTAAGATTTTTAAGGCCGAGTACAATAACCTCAGTTTGATCTGAATTTAAATGCAGAAAATTTGAAGTCATCAAGGTCTTTGTGAGACATTCCTGCAGTTTAACAAATTGGTGTGTATTATTTGGTTTCATGGATAGATAAAGTTAGATGTCATCTGCATAGCAGTGAAAATGTATGCTATGCCTTCTGATGATACTGCCTAAGGGAAGCATGTAAACAGAATTGGTCCCAGCACAGAACCCTGTGGAACTCCATAATTAACCTTAGTGCAGGGGTGTCGAACTCCAGGCCTGGAGGGCCGGTGTCCTGCAGGCTTTAGATCTCACCCTGTTTCAACACACCTGAATCAAATGATTAGTTCATTTCCAGGCTTCTGGAGAACTTCAAGACATGTTTAGGAGGCAATTTAGCCATTTAAATCAGCTGTGTTGGATCAAGGACGCATCTAAAACCTGCAGGACACCAGCCCTCGAGGCCTGGAGTTCGACACCTGTGCCTTATTGTGTAAAGAGTACTCTCCATTTACATGAACAAATTGGACTCTATTAGATAGATATGTTACAAACCACTGCAGCACAGTACCTGTAATAC